TACTGCTTTTTTACTTCAAGCTTTCTCTAATTCGAAAGATTGCAAAAATTTTTGACCTTCAAAAAGCTGTACAAATTAATCGTTTCAAGATGGAATGTATATCTTCCTTACTTATCAGAAAGCAATGCAGCTGCTGCACTTACAACTTTTTCCTTTTCTTCCCTATAATCCAGAGGAAGTTCATAAGGATGTTCCTCTTCTCAAATCGCGCCTTGACATTTGACCGATAATCTTTTAGTGGAAACCTTGAAACCTTTCCCAAATATTGAGACAAAGGAAAAAAGTAGCCTCTTTCGTGGAGGAAGATTTGCAACTCCGATTACTTCTTCACACAGCTCATGACTTAAGAGATGCCTCCTTCGATAAATGCATTCAAAGTCTTAAAAGGTCGACTAAATTAAAGTAGACAGATTCAACTTCCTTTGGTAGAAAAAAGGAACTAATTTTATGCAAAGGTGAATATACTGCTGGTGGGAGGCCAAAATGCTTACCTAATGATCTCACAAGATGAGTAGATACGAAGGTGTCGAGCACATTAATGACCACTACAGTGTCAGCCTCCTCCTGACTTGCCGTTAAATCCTCTTCGTGCCATTCTAAGGCCTCCAATTGGTCATTCGACGCCTCAACCTCCCTGGGTATAAGGCAGAGGGAACAATGTATCAGACAAAAGACTTTTCCGCTGCTCCAGACCCCCAAAGTACAATACCGGGTTTGCTTCGCTAAGGACTCGGCAACATTCATGTAATTAGCGCAACTAGCTCGTGCAAAAAATTCAAATATTAAGTTCAGCTTCATATTATATTGAATGTTCTCAAATTATCGTCACGGGGTACTGATAGTTGAATGGCAAAGCCAAAAATACCTGTAAATGTAGGTGAATCTAAATTTATTTTAAGAAAAGTAAGAAGAAATAAGTTTACTCTAATAAATTGTCAAATTTTGTTCCGGGATGTTTTTAATGGAAGGGGAGAAGAGATAGATGGAATTGCCCTCTTCTGAAACCTCGTCCTGACAGCTAAAT